AGCTTGATTTTGATAAGTTCATATCAGAAGAATCCAGCACTCTTACTGCTCGAAAGATAAAGATGGTTCACAAGAAACTGTATGAAATTACAAAGACCATTTCGTACAATTGTCTAGTGATGATTGTTGGATTCCCTTTCATTATAGTGTGGGGTTTGTTGCTAGGGATAACCTCCTTTGCAATGAACTGGGTCTACATTCCATTGCTTAAGCTTGTGAGCTGGTTATTCAATGCTACCATACCAGTCCTGAGCCCACTGAGGAACTGCTGCAAACCAGTCATGGAGCTAGTTGCAATCATATTCAAACGATAAAGGACATTGTAAACTTGAGCTTTTTAGTTTGTGCACATTTTTTAGCAAAGAAATTGACATTAATAAAGTGGGCGTGGTCAGTCTTGCAGCAAAGGGGAGTGGCTGGTTGCTGCAGTGCAGTGGTTGGCAATATGTCCGGTTTAACTGGTTCATCCATAAGTAGCTCCATCCCCAGCGGGTCATTAGTTAATAGAGCGTCCAAACGGTATTACTCTGTCTATATACTGATGGTCCTAATGCTGGTCTACCTCACCAGCCAAACTGATCGTTTTGTGTTGGGACTAACCAGTTACCATGTGTCACGTGATCTCAGGATAGGCCACTTGACTTGTTTCTATAATGAGTCTAATGAGGGGACCCAGTGTGGTAATAACAACTGCTCTGACTATCAAACTAATAGGGACAAGTGAGACTAATTAGTGATGGGTGGGGCTAGTTATGAATATTTAATAATCACCTTGTAAAGTGGATGACGATTTTCACTTCAAAGTGAACGTAAATATAAATATTCCACTTTTGATCTTAATTAACTCAAACTTTCTATGCAACATAAGAACATGTATATGCATCAGAAAATGTAATAAAAATTGAGAATTCTCTCCTTTTCATTTTTGGCGAAATTTGACCAAAGTCCCTATACTATAGTACAGGGACTTTTATCCAATTTTGGAGCAACTTTTTAAAATCATGAAAAATCCAAACTTGATCGAAATCAGCTCAAACTTTGTACACAACATAAGAACATGTATATGCTTCAGAAAATGTAATACAAAATTGAGAATTCTCTCCTTTTCATTTTTGGCGAAATTAGACCAAAGTCTCTGTACTATAGTACAGGGATTTTTACTCAATTTTGGAGCAACTTTAATAATTCATAAAAAATCCAATTTTGATTGGAATCAGTTCAAACTTTCTACACAACATGAGAACATGTATATGCATCAGAAAACGTACTAGAAATTGAGATTTCTCTCCTTTTCATTTTTTCCAAAAGACGATGTACTCTAAATCATTAAGTTGCAAGTTTCTAAATTATTAATAATTATTAATTATTATATATTTTCCATTAGGTGCCTACTGGATGAAGACTGTAGCTGGGACTATAGCGCTACTAGTGTCTATTATCAGATATTAGCTGGTCCTGCCTTCATTGTAACATTTGCTGTCTCCTCTTTATTAACTGGACTCCTCCTCAGTGTTTATACATTAAAAAGAACACTACTGTTATCAATATGTGCTTTAACCTGGAGCGTACTAACTGGTCTGTCCGGTTTCTGTAACCAGTATTGGGAGCTCTTGCTGACTAGAATAGGATTAGGAATATTGTAAGTATTATTAGTAATAATTATTAATATTTATTATGATAATGTCTCTTCAGTCAGGCAGCCTGCACTCCTTTAGCTGGTAGCATAATGTCCGACATATTTGAAGAAGTTAGATTATATTATTATTATTATTATTATTATTATTATTATTATTATTATTATTATTATTATTGTGTTATTTAGAAGAACCGTGGTGTTGCGCTGGGTTTTTACAGTTGGGGTGTTTATTTTGGTTATGGTCTAGCATTTGCTAGTGATTTTATTATAAAGTCTTATGGCTGGAGGTGGGGCTTCTGGTCAGCTAGTATTCTAAGCACAATAGTGTCCTTCTTGTCTCTATTGACTGTACGAGAACCAATTAGAAGGAATGATAAAAACAATGGACGTTTATTGAAAAAGGTACTTGAGATAAAAGTAATGAAAATAGTATAATTACATTCCTATTATGTAGAAACCTTATTTTAAAATATTAAAGCAAGTCCTGAAGAGTTATATGCAGTTGCCACTGCTACTGTTGTGTATTGGGGCAGGCCTTAGACAAGGAGGGGGACTGGTGTGGGCTTATAATGCTAAAGCTTATTTCAGGTATAATGATTTATTTTATTATTAATTTTATTTTATTATTATTTATTTTGTTAATAGGAAGCTACATTGCGACACAACTGGTGTAGGTACATACCTAAGCTGGGTACCAGTGGTGGGCGGTACTGTTGGTGTGTTTGCAGGTGGAATGATATCGGATGGACTAGTGAGAAGACTAGGAACCAGATCAAGACTAATAGTACTAGTGACCTGCTGTGTAAGTAATCATTGATGATCATTAATAATCATTATCTTGAATTATACCAATTGGTATTGTGGTTGCCAATAGTGATATTCCACTGTATTTACATCTTTCATTAATTAATGATTATTTCTTTGTTTAGTTTCTAGCTGCTCCTTTTCTTTTTGGTACACTTTATTTATCACCTCCCTGGGCCTTTCTCTCTCTTCTCTTCTCTTACATTACTGGCGAGATGTGGTTTGGGGTGGCCATTGCTGTTGCCATGGAGATGGTTCCACATGAAATAGCATCATCAGGCCTAGCCCTGTATCTGTTTGTTATTAACATTATCGGAGGAAACATTAATCTGGTCCTCCCTTCTTTACAAAAACTAACAAGTCTGCAGACTGCAATGGCTGTATTGTTTCCAGGTTCTTATTTAATGGCTGGATCATTCTTCCTGCTAGCTGGCATACTGTTGTCTTGTAGGTCAAAGCGTTCTTCTTCTAGTTATGAAATTAATGAAAAAGCTGCTTTGATAATCCAAGATGATGATGATAAGACTAATGTTGATCTTTTCACTGAGAGTGAAGAGATTAGTGCTCGTAGACGACCAGTCACTGAACGACCTCTAATAGCAATGTCATTCACTGCCTCTATGTAACCAATCTCTATTGTTCAATGTTTCATTATTATTATTATTATTATTATTATTATTATCATAATTATTGTCATCACAGTGTCTGTAGTAGTGAAATTCATTGTATCTTATGACCATTGTATAGTTATTGATAATCATTGGCTATTGAAAGTGTTTCACCATTACCCAGTACTATAGTAGACACTGATGGGATTATACCAACAGCCAATGAATGGACAATGGTCCATTGTACTATAAGACATCCTGTCAGTTCAGTATATAAGGGAAGACACTGGAGCAGGTTGAGCATCTTCACTCAGTTTACTGACTAGTAATTGAAATAAATACAAGTCTTGAACTATTTCCATAATAAAATGATGAAGACTACATTTGCAGTTCTCCTTTTGGTTGGTTTGGCCACTTGTGTCATGAGGTATGTTCATGTACTTAATGTTATTAGTATTCTATTTGTGTCAGTAGTGTCCCTCTTGCTGATGAGGCCACTGGTGATTCTTTTAATTTGGACTTTCTCTCTCGTCCAGTTGAAGGAGAGGCCTCTCCAATGGAGGACACTCAGGAAACAGTATTCATTCAATCTTGTGACACAGCCCAGTTTATTGGTGGATCAGCTAAAGCTCGTGCTGATACTCTAAAAGTTCATCAGGGGCTTTGCAATAAAATAATTCAAACTTTTCATAGGGTTGGCAACACCAAATCTTATGTGACATGGTTTGGAGCCTTCTCAATTTCCAATCAAAACCATGTTAAGAATACCTACATCAAAATTCACAGCAAATTAACATTCTACCCTGTCACATACAATTTTAATGCTGACAAGTCCAAGTGCAGCAACGGTGAACTCCTTGCCTATACTTCTTACGGTAGCAATACTATATTCCTCTGTGACGGTTTTGTCAGTGCTAAGAACCCCTGCACTAAGGACGCTACTAAGAGCAAGGAACATGAGCTGATTCGTACCTGGTCTATTGCTGCAGCTGACACTAAGGGATACTCTACTGGGCAGGATCCTACTAAAGATCTGGCTAAGAAGGATCCTTCAAAAGCTGTTGATAATGCTGAAAGCTATGCTTACTTCTACTGTCGCCCTTGAGCAGTGTCTGGAGTAACTTTGGACTCAGTATATAATTATTTATAATTATTATTGTATATAGTGCTTTAGGCCATTTTTCAGTTTCAATTTTAGGCCATTTTTTTGTTGTTTTGCTTTAGTAAAAGTTTTTCAAAAAATAATTACATAAAAACATTATCTTTTGCCTGTCGCCAAGCAGCAGATATTCTGTTTTGATGATTAAAAAACAGCTTTAATGTAATAGATGCAAAGTCTAAAATTGACCATTAAAATAGAGGCCATTATACTATGCTAAAACTATATTAACTTTGCTCAAGGAGTTTTGCAGCATCTCTTGTATTGTTCTATTGCTTTAGTAATGGAATGAAAAATGAAAAAACTGCTTTGATAATCCAAGATGATGATGATAAGACTAATGTTGATTTTTTCACTGAGAGTGAAAAGATAAGTGCTCGTAGACGACCAGTCACTGAACGACCTCTAATAGCAATGTCATTCACTGCCTCTATGTAACCAATCTCTATTGTTCAATGTTTTGTTATTATTATTATTATTATCATAATTATTGTCATTACAGTGTGTCTAGCAGTGAAATTCATTGTATCTTATGACCATTGTATAGTTATTGATAATCATTGGCTATTGAAAGTGTTTCACCATTACCCAGTACTATAGTAGACACTGATGGGATTATACCAACAGCCAATGAATGGACAATGGTCCATTGTACTATAAGACATCCTGTCAGTTCAGTATATAAGGGAAGACACTGGAGCAGGTTGAGCATCTTCACTCAGTTTACTGACTAGTAATTGAAATAAATACAAGTCTTGAACTATTTCCATAATAAAATGATGAAGACTACATTTGCAGTTCTCCTTTTGGTTGGTTTGGCCACTTGTGTCATGAGGTATGTTCATGTACTTAATGTTATTAGTATTCTATTTGTGTCAGTAGTGTCCCTCTTGCTGATGAGGCCACTGGAAATTCTTTTAATTTGGACTTTCTCTCTCGTCCAGTTGAAGGAGAGGCCCTCCCAATGGAGGACACTCAGGAAACAGTATTCATTCAATCTTGCAACACAGCCCAGTTCATTGGTGGATCAACTAAAGCTCGTGCTGATACTCTAAAAGTTCATCAGGGGCTTTGCAATAAAATAATTCAAGCTTTTTATAGGGTTGGCAACACCAAATCTTACATCACATGGTTTGGAGCCTTCTCAATTTCCAATCAAAACCATGTTAAAAATACCTACATCAAAATTCACAGCAAGTTAACGTTCAGCCCTGTCACATACAATTTCAATGCTGAC